AATATTCTGTTTGGCTCTCAATATAATGAAGAAAAATACAATCGAGTGGTGAAGGCGTGCTCCTAATGTATTCATAAAACTCTAAACACGTGTTGAAAGACATCAAAGAATTCATACATTATTCCAACGAACGATCATTTTGTCCATAAAAACGCCTTTTTCTTCATTACTCGAAGTGTTTTCTATTACTCCGAGAATTATCTCATTTTCCCCCGAAATGAACGCCTCGTTGTCTTTCCCTTCTCTCTCATCCAAACCACTCATCTCTTCGAGTAATAAAAAATCCTATTTTAAATAAACAAGTTAAAATGTTGCAAATTAAACTTGCTAAAACTTATTAAATTACTATATATTGCAAATTCAATAATAACCTGCATACGTTTGATTACTGAAATTATTTCACCTAGAGCAGAAACGGCCATGGGTGCGTTATACCCTATAGTAATACGTATTGCATCGAAGTAAGCAATAGTAGCAAAAGCCGTCTCCGCCGACAACAGCCCACCCGTCAGTACATATGTTAGAAAACAGGCGTATATTATAACCCGTATTAACACAAAATTAATCGACTGATTAACGCCTTTCAAAAAGTTTGACCATCGAATTTGTTTCACTTCGGACCTGATGTACAGAATATTATTGGTGCACAATATTTTTTGTATTATTGGAGTCATGAAAATGAATAAGAATATACAGTCTGCCCTTGTCATAAGGAACTTTGTTTGAGCAGCTAAAATATTGTTTCTTACATCAAATTACCTCTTATATCGAGGGCAGACTGTATTATATTATTTGCTGCATTACTTGCGAGCGGTTGCGACCAATAATGCGAAGGGCTGTTCCCAGGCGTACATCTTTATGACACGCATTCCGGCGATAATCTCTTGCATTAAACGGATTCGACTGTCGGTTAATTTGGCCGTCTTTTGACGTATATTACGAAACATACGACCCATTAGTGCCTGAAATGGTATAAACAGCACAATAACTGTCATACCGGCCAAACACGCCCACCGAAGGTATGGCCACAACAGGTATAACACAATCGCCGCCTGCATTGGCGCCACAAATAATGCTTGCGATCGCAATGCAAACTATTTTCTCAAAATCATAACACCAAGATTAATTACTACTTAATTTTAATCATTAATATTTAATTCAAAACCTAATACCTCATCAAATCTGTGGATATCGTTAGACATAATGTTTAATATCTGGCCAACCGTTGTCTTTCCGAGTGATGAGTGACTTAAGCGCAGAGACTTTAGATAAATATTACAACATAATATACGTTTATTTGTACAGAATAGTGTTGTTAATTTGATAATATTTAATTCAATATTACAAAAAGCATCTATCACGGGCCGCGATTAGGGTGATCAGAAAATATTAGAAAATTATTCACGCTTAAACGTGTGACACGATTACCAACACTTGTACAGACCTTGCGGTAGATAAGAGCGCAACAGGCGGTCCGTACTCTGACCCCCACTTTTGCTTTATAAGTATTATTCAAATGATGGATAAACATGTTTCCAATGGCTGCCAATACAATACCCAGGGCTGCCCACCGCGCCCACCACTGGCTAGTGTTGGGGTCATTGTTGAAATATCTCACCAAATAAGTGATACAATACGCCTGAAGTAGGGTCAGCACCAATTCCTAAAAAATAAATTTACACAATTAAACACAATTAATTGAAAATTAATTATTTTATAATTATTCAGTATAATAGTTATTGTTTTTAATTATTATCCATTTAATTATTACCATGATTGCATCGGGAATATAACATACAATAAGTTCGGGTCCGAACGATGTCATTAGTGCCCAAAATAGCGATGGCTTTCCTTTACTTTTGAGTTGTTTATCCCATTTTCTATCAAAATTGATGTAAAACGTTATACAATATTTTTAATATTTTAAATATAAAACGTTCATGTTACATTTCAAGCTTATGTCGGACCAAATGTGTCTCATCTGATTTTGGGCACCGGTAGACATCACTAAAATTAAGGTCCCTTTTGTGCGCCCGAATGAATAGACTCCACACCCAACTAATTGAAATAATATTAATTAATAAACATATATTACAGTATAATATTAATTCATTAAATTTAATTTAATAATAAATGTAATTAATGTAATAATAATATTATTTTATAAAATAATGTTTTTTTTATAAATCACCTGAATGTAAGTTTGGAGAATATGTTAATGCGATCCCATGGACTCGGAATGGTTACCAATCCCTCACTTACTTCCATAGTATTATATTATAACAATAATTCACATTAAAATTTATTATTATTTAAAAGATATAAAATACTTAATAAATTTATATTATATCTGTATATGAGTATACAGTAATTGTATATTTATATACAGATGTTTCTTATGATTTTATTTGCTAATTAATAGTTAATATTCATAGAATTAATTTCTTATTTTTATATACTACTAAATAACCATGGTATATACCTAGTCGTCTCTGGGCCTGTTCATAATGGGACGTACTTAATGTCTCACCTTGATCATTTTAAGCATATTAAACATTATAACTAGTACCCTATTGACCCTAGCTTCACCCTTAGATACGATAAGGTATATACTGTATATAAAATTTATAGTATAAATTATGCATTGTTCAAGCATGAAAAAAATTATTTTTAACAAATAAACAAACAACAATTAGACTAAATTAGGGCGTAAAACATATTAACTAATATTATATATAATATTATAAAAGTGAACCGTACATATTGTATTTCTTAGCAATTAGTATAGCATTGATTAGTATTTAGTATAATTAGTATTTTATTTACATAATTACTATAGTATTATAATAGAAAATTGGCACACATGCCAATAAGTTTATTCTGTTTTAAATTTTACCATTTCTATGGTTGGGCAAAGAATTACCAAAACTTGTCTCTGATTAAAAATTTTGCCACATTTTAGTAAGTTATTTAACATAACTTATGTTATATTAAGGGCTATTTATTATTAAAATTTAATGACAATTTTGGTCAAAGCAATAAAATATAAACTAGTCACATGAATGTCGATATTGTAGCATCTTTAAAAAATTGTTTGGTTTAATGATTAAAAACATTAAGGTAAACCAATCAATCAAATGTTATTCAAACTGTGTTAAACAATTTAAATTAATATTTAATCACATTAAACACAAAAAGTATTGTTTAGTTATAAAATCAACAATTTACCACTTTGTAATATTAAAATAAAATAAATGTTAAACATCAAACTATATTTAAGTCACACAATATAGATTATTAATTAATAATATAGTTTACTGGTCAATTATGGTTGACATAAATGCCAATCGCATTATATATCCGTTTTCACTGATATTCCTGATAAATGGTTGTGATATAAGTTTCACCCACAATAAAAAGCTATGGTATGTCAGAAAATGTATACAAATAACATGTAAACTGTTAACAATTATCGTTATTACACGTCATATGTTTATGGTCAGCCATAGTCTAGTTAGTGTAAATTCGCTGAAACTGGCCTTATGGCCATGTTCAAGCGTAGTCAAAATGACCATCATCTGTATTAGTTACGTATTATTTCACGTAAAATGCGGTAAAATCAAGAATATTCTGTCAGAATTGGCGCAAGAATTAAGTGTAAATGAATCAAATTCAATGAAACTTAACGCCAGATTCATTACAATAATCTGGTGTACATTCAATGTAATTAATGGGGCGTCTTTTGCAATCTATATTATGATTATGATCAGGGACTTTAGCTTGTATCATATACTATATTATTTAATATGGTTATCAACAGTTTTTGGTTGGATTATAGCCATTAATCTACTTTATATTCACGCGTGTTATGGGGTCTATCTACTGGAAAAGCGTATATTGATAACTCGTGTTGGTAATTATGACCATTCAACCCACCTAGATCACAATTTGCAAATTATTCAACAATATAAATTACGTATTAATAACTCGTTGGGTTTTATACCGTTTCTATGGTTTTGCGAACTTTTTGTAAACACATGTCTCCGATTAACGCATATTTCAATTAATACCGATTCTAACGGATATCATACTTTTCTATGGAGGGGTTTAGTTGAATATGTGTTGATTGCTATCATAAATGTGATCGTTGTTTTAGCAATTAATTATTTTCAGACCCATAGACCGACAGTAAATGAAATGATGGTTATTGTCAACCAAACCTATACCACTGTAAATACTACTAATGGTTTAGTCAAAATGACCATGTTATTAAATACTATGAATTACTATTGTAATCAAAGATACAGTGCTTTACATGTGTTTACAATTGATGTGAAATTTTTATTTTCTTTTATGGCATCTGTTGTTGCGTTTACCGTTATGTTGATTGAGTTATTAAATCATTAAGGTGAAATAATATGCTTTAATTAAATGTAACTTGTTTTAATATAAAAATAAATATTACATAAATCATTTTAAAAATAAATGTAACAAATAAATCATTATAAAATATTTTTCTTGATTAAAAACATAAATGTTAACACACTGTAAATCGATCAATCAACTTTTATACAAACAGTGTTAAATAAATAAAATTTAAATTAACGTATGAAAAGTATTAAAACTTTGATTTTATTAATTTTCTTTCATAAAACACTGTTTAAGTAAAAATACAATTTATTTTAATGTTAACAGTAGTCGTGTTAAACACACTAATCGTGTGTATGTTTTGGGGAATAGCCTTACATTACGGCATACAGTCAGACCTCTGTCTTGTCAATCATCTATGCTGTCAACTCCTCTATGTTATCAACCAAATCCCAAAACCCACAGTACATAGACATAATGTTAAATTAACATCTATGTAGTCAACCCCTCTATGTTATCAACCAAATTCCCCTGCCCCATTTTGTTGATAACATAGATGTTTCACTGTATTCTGGTAAGACTGCTTATAGTGTTGCATTGGGTCAGCCCGTAAATAGTGCCACATTGGGTTCACGTTAACCCAATTTTATGTCCACTATTCTTGGACTGTGTTTGTATGTATGTGTTTGTCGGCAGTGCTTGAATGGGATATAGGGTTACAATAATAGATTTTATACTTTAAAGTTCAGGTGAATTTATTTTGCCCGGGCCCGACTCAGCCGAGCCTTCTGTCCGCCACTCAAAGCCAGCCCTCTCTCCCCCACAAGTGTTTTGTCCCCAAATGGCATGAGTTTGAAATCTGTGTCCAAAGCGCACGCCTTCACCACTCGATTGTATTTCTCTTCACGTGTTGAAAGACATCAAAGAATTTATACATTATTCCAACGAACGCTCATTTTGTCCATAAAAACGCCTTTTTCTTCATTACTCGACGTGTTTTCCATTACTCCGAGAATTATCTCATTTTCACCCGAAATGAACGCCTCGTTGTCTTTGTGAATACTTTCATTAATACACTTATTTTAAAAATGTTTGTTTTATTGATTATAAACATTCAGGTAAAGCAATCAATCAAATGTTGTTCAAACAATGTCAAACAAATGAAATCAATATTTAATCACATTAATCATAAAAGTATTGTTTATTCATAAAATCAATAATTTACATTCATTAATTGTAATATTATAATAAATGGATGTTAAACAACAAACTGTTAACTCACATGATATAAAATTTTAATAAATCATTTAGATTAAAATATTTGTTTATAACCTTACAGTTCTGGTTAATAATGGTTGACATAAATGCCAATCGTATTATATATCCGTTTTCACTGATATTTTTGACAAATGGTTGTGATATAAGTTTTACAAACAATAAAAAGCTATGGTATGTCAAGAAATCTATACAATTAACATGTAAACTGATAACAATTGGTATTATTATACGCCGTATATTAATTACAAGCAATAATCTAGTTAATTTAAGTTCACTAAAACTAGCCTTATGGCCATGTTCAAGCTTAATAAAAATGGCTATCATCTGCATTAGTTACGCATTATTTCAGGTAAAATGCGGTAAAATCAAGAATATTCTGTCAGAATTGGCACAAGAATTAAGAGTAAATGAATTAAATTCAATGAGACTTAGCGCCCGATTTATTACTATAATCTGGTGTACATTCAATGTAATTAATGGGGCGTCCTTTACCATGTATATTATATACAATAACGTTAACATGGGTAATATACCATATTATTTAATATGGTTATTAACAGTTTTTGGTTGGATTATAGCCACTAATCTACTTTATATTCACGCGTGTTTTGGGGTCTATCTACTGGAAAAGCGAATATTAATAAAACGTGATTATAACCATTTCACTGACCTAGATCACAATTTGCAGATTATTCAACAATATAAATCAAGTATTAATAACTCGTTAAGTTTTATACCGTTTCTATGGTTTTGTGATCTTTTTGTCAGCACTTGTCTCCGATTAACGCATATTTCAATTAATAGCGATTCTAACGGATATCACAATTATATATGGAGGGGTTTAGTTGAATACATGTTGATTACTATTATAAATGTGATCGTTGTTTTAGCAATTAATTATTTTCAAACCCATAGACCGACAGTAAATGAAATGATGGTTATTGGTAACCAAACCCTTACCCCGTCTATTAATACCAGGGATGGTTTGGTTATAAAAATGACCATGTTTTTAAATACAGTGAATAACTATTGCAATCAGACATACAGTGCTTTACATGTGTTTACAATTGATGTAAAATTTTTATTTTCATTTATGGCATCTGTGGTCGCGTTTACCGTTATGTTAATTGAGTTATTAAATCATTAATGTTAAATAATATGAGTTACTTATTGTAACTTGTTGTAATGTAAAAATAAATATTTTATAAATCATTTTAAAAATAAATGTATCAAATAAATCATTATTAAATATTTTTCTTGATTAAAAACATAAATGTTAACACATTAGTAATCGATCAATCAACTTTTATACAAACAATGTTAAATAAATAAAATTCAAATTAACGTATGAAAATAATTGTAATAAAAGTAAAACTACAATTCTTAAAATTTTAGTATAAATATTATTTATACTTTACGCGTATTGTAATAAAATAGGGTTTTGTTATAAATAATAATTTACCTAATTGTTTTCTACAACCTATAAAATCAATGAACATAATGTGAAATATTTGGTACATAAATGTCAATATCGTACGCTTTTTTATAAAACATGTTTTATTAATTAAAAATGTTATGGTAAAATAATCATTCAAATGTTATTCAAACAAATAAATAAATAATAATCATATTAAAGTAAACATACTGTTATTAAATAAATAATTTACCACAATGTAATATTAAAACTGATTAACAAAATGTTGAATAACAAAATATATTTAACTTACATAATATAATATATTTTCACATATAACTTATATAATTTAATGTATTAAAAAATAATATAATGTTTTAGTTTAAATATTTTGTATATAACCTTTATATTCTGATTAGTTATGATTGACATGAATGCAAATCGGATTATATATCCGTTTTCACTGATATTACTAATAAATGATTGTGATATAAGTTTCACCAACCATAAAAAGCTATGGTATATCAAGAAATGCATACAAATAACATGTAAACTGTTAACAATTATCGTTATTATACTCCATATGTTTAAAGTCAGTCATAGTCTAGTTAATGTAAACTCGCTGAAATTGGCTTTATGGCCATGTTCAAGCGTAGTCAAAATGACCATCATCTGTATTAGTTACGGATTATTTAAAATAAAGTGCGGTAAAATCAAAAATATTCTGTCAGAATTGGCGCAAGAATTAAGTGTAAACGAGTTAAATTCTATGAGACTTAACGCCAGATTCATAACAATAATCTGGTGTACATTCAATGTAATTAACGGGGCATCCTTTGCCATGTATATTATGATCATGATCAGGGACTTTAGCTTGTATCATATACTATATTATTTAATATGGTTATCAACAGTTTTTGGTTGGATTATAGCCATTAATCTACTTTATATTCACGCGTGTTTTGGGGTCTATCTATTGGAAAAGCGAATATTCATAACTCGTGTTGGTAATTATAATCATTCAATCGACATAGATCACAATTTGCAAATTATTCAACAATATAAATCACGTATTAATAACTCGTTGGGTTTTATACCGTTTCTATGGTTTTGCGAACTTTTTGTTAACACATGTCTCCGATTAACGCATATTTCAATTAATACCGATTCTCACGGATATCATACTTTTCTATGGAGGGGTTTAGTTGAATATGTGTTGATTGCTATCATAAATGTGATCGTTGTTTTAGCAATTAATTATTTTCAGGCCCATCGACCGACAGTAAATGAAATGATGGTTATTGTCAACCAAACCTATATTACTGTACTGTAAATACTACTAATGGTTTAGTCAAAATGACCATGTTATTTAATATTATGAATAACTATTGTAATCAAAGATACAGTGCTTTACATGTGTTTACAATTA